AGCGCGCGGCTCCGCCCACAGACACGCCCCCCGCCGCCGCCCCCTGGCGGCCCCCGGCGGCGCCGCAGCCGCGGAGCGGGAACGGGCGGGAAAATCCTCAGGGGAGAAAAACGACCCCGTTCGGCCCCAAACGCGTTTGTTTTCACCCTCTCGGCGCAGTTTCTCCGCTCATAGTTGTGGCGTCTCTGGTCGCTGGGTGGCTCTGAATGAGCCCCTTACACACAGCCTGCACCTAGCGAGGCCCTGAGAGGAAAAGGGAGTTTTGGGGGGGCTTTTAGGTTTTTTTGCAGCTGCAGCTGTGGTTACACCCTGCTAAGAGCAGGGCACACACACCAGGGCAGCAAGATCCTGACTGCGGGTCACGGTCTCCCTCCTTAGAAACAGCACTGTGGTTTTGATGTCTTTATTAAAAACCAACACAGTTGAAGACAAGCAGATAACACAGGCCCTGACAGAGGTCATGGCAGTTCGGTGTGTAAAACAGGCTGCTGAAGGAGAAGCAAAGCTTAGTGCAGCACAGGGGACGAGGGGAAACACCAAAGACCACCCTGTCGCTGCGTCAGACAAAGCCGCGCACAGAACAAGGCTCAGGCGCTCCATACACAAACCAGCATCAACGTTTATTGGTGTTTTTGAATTAAATTGGGAAGAAGAACAGTTACAAATGCGTTTGTTGGTGCAGTGTGTACACAGGTCAGACTTTCTGCAACGTGAAGCGGCAGCAGATCTCCTCTACACACTGTTTTAATACAAAATCCTAGGGATCTAGGTCTATGCCTTTTTAGCGTATGGTAGATCAGGATGTGAAGAGAGAAGCGTAGCTCCCCTTCCACCTTTATCTGTCCGGACGGGTCATTCCTGGCCTGGTTGGCACCATCATAGGCCTGGACGGTGGTCTCATCATCGGAGGCCCCGGCATCATTGGCATGTGTCCTCCCATGGGCGGTCTCATCCCTGGAGCTACGGCAGGAAAAACGGGACACTCGGGACACCGGGAAAAAGCTCTTGGGAACAGCAGCTGCAGAGATGCAGCAGTGCGGGCTGCGGATTCCCCCATCCCACAGCTGCTCCATCCTACAGGGAGCTCTGATCTTGGAGTGCGTGGAAGGAGCCTCCCAGGCTGGAAGGTGGCTGAGAGGGACTATTCTCTGAAGGACATTAGCAGTTAGCAGAGGAAGAACCAAATTACCAGGCTGTGTGCCCAGCTTTGACAGGATTCACTGATAATCTACGTCAACCACTCAACAGACACTAGCTCAAGTGAATTGAAAAGTTTGTTTGGAAAGTGCTGCAAGATCCTCAAATTAAGTGTGTTCAAAAATAGTCTAGTGTACTTCTTACAGCTGGGTAACAGCATTACCAGAAGAGAAAAGCAGGAGCTTTATCAAAAAGCACCAAAATAATCACTTCCATCCAAATTCTCCACTTATTCTCAGACAACCATTAAACTGCCTAATATCTCTGATTATCTCTGTATTTTGTAACTTTAGAAAACACTTAAGGAACGCTTTGTACTGAAAACACAGTAATTGCAAAGACATTTCACTACATTTACTGTGCAGAGATGTATTCAGATTTGTTCCAGTAACTACTCCAATAATTCCCTCTGAGAATTCTTCAAACGCCAACAAGCTCAAAAGCAGAACAGACAATCAAGACATTTTAGTTTGCCTTTGCTGTTCTGAAAAACCTTTCTAATGCACGTCACTTTTCTGGGATATGTTACTTTGAGATATTCTAGAAGATAAGCTTCATCTATTGCTCTATTGCATCTATTTAAAGTCAGAAAGATAGGAAAAAAAAAGCACAACTTACTGAACACAGAATTTCAACTGCACAGCAAGGATCATAAGTGCGCTCTCAAGGGCAACTTTGTAGAGACTGTAGAACTGTTTTGTGTCTCAGCACGGATCAGCACATGTGTGTGATATATGCACAATGGAACAGCCCACCTCAAGCTGTCCATCCATAGAGCATCTAAGTGCTGCCTGCAGTGCAGCCGCAGGCTGAAACGTGTGTCACTACAGCTAGCGTCCAGCTGCTCAATGGAAAATGCCCCCAAACCCCCAGCACACCAGAGCAGCAGCAGCACCATTAGAGAACTGTTCACTTCCAGACTTACCCGGCCCCACTGGCATCATTCCTGGCGGGGGAGGACCCATCATTGGCATCATTGGAGGTCCACCCATGTGAGGGGCTGGCATCATCCCAGGTCGTGGCGGGCCAGCTGAACACAAACACAGACTGGTAATACGGTAACATACCCGAACACTTCCACACTCATCAGCCACTTGCAACGTGAAATCGTTATTATTAAGGATACAGGATTTTTTAGTAAAGTTTAATAAACAATAAGCTGTGCTGGAGGATTTAATGACGCCACTTGCCATGGCAGCTACCAAGCAAGATAAGGAGCATACATTAACGTGCTCTGCATGGCTAAAACACAACAAAGCAAACATCACAACGGCCACTGAAACACCCTCACAGAGCGTTCTCTTGTAGTTTGATATTCATGAGTTCAAAACTCCTCAGCTTTATTTATTTGCAAGGCAATGATGTTAAGCACAGCTGCAGAGAGACTTACGGAGGCTGGGAGGGGGCGGTATCATGGCTCCCCCGGGAGGCGGTGCCGAGAACGGAGATGGGGGGATTTTCCCTTGCTGAAATGCAGCCGCTGCACGGACAATAAAAACAGATGAAAAATACATAAACAAGAGTGAAAAAAACACCTACAAAGCTTGTGAAGCACCTGTGTCAATCTTCCTTCCCATGTTAGACACTCGGAGTTACTGTCGTGCCTAGGATTATTAAATTGAGTCACCCTAACTGAAAAAAGTTGAAAGTCAGCGACCTAGGGAAGTAACAGAAGCATGAAAATCATCTTAAGTGACAGGAGAAAGGAAAACTGGAACTGATCAGAAGGAAGGCAAAAGATACAGAAGATGGAAAGGACTAGAGAAGGGAAACCGACAGAAAGTTAACAGGGTGTTTGCATTTATTTTGCTTACAGAGAAAAGGACAGCTATCCACAGGGAAATAAAGGAAAAGAAGGAGAAGAGCCATTTAAAGGGAAAGACTAAATGCTTCTCATTTTATTTAGTACATTAACACTAAGAATGAAAAAATCAATACGCCTAAGGAGGTGAAGCCAAAAGACTCAGCCCACTGTCTGCTTTCCTGCTTCTTGGATACTTTTTTTGTTATTCAGGCTGTTCACATAAACGAGTCACTGCTAACTAAAGCAAAAATAAAGCTTAGGCACTAGAGAAGTATCTCATTTCTCCTTCAAGTGATAGCTCTGTTCTCAGCTGTTTGGGGAGAAAAGGAAACAAATTTCTTTTGCAAGCTTGTGGTAAAGTGCTCAGGTAGCTTTTAAACTCAAAGGAAATTCTTCTAAAAGCAAGCAGAGTTTGTATAAAATTCAGCTGTCCAAGAGGCCCCTTGACCAACAGCAGAGAAACGTCTGCCTGCAATGACCCCCTACGCAGAGCTCTTGGGTCTCTTCAGTGGAAACCTTCAGTGCAAGCCCGAGCATCTAGGTGACATTCCCACCCACAGCACCCATGGCAAGAAAACCACCACGGAGTGCAGCAAAATCAGCAGGAGGGGCAGGACGACAAGGACACATGGGAGAGACGGGAGCGATGGCACCGCCTCTCTCGGACACAGGGTTAGTCTTACTTGTCTTGTCAATGAGGCTCTGAGCTTGCTCCTCCATCCATTTCTGGTAGTAGTCCTTCACGTTCTCCTTGTGCTTCCTGCCGCTGCAGTGGGTTTTCCTCACGGAGGGCTGAGGAAAGTCACAAACCCAGATATTACCTAAACGCTTGCCAAAAAGTTAAGCCACGTAGTTAAATAACTAAGACCGGCCGGGTTGGGTGCACAGGCGGCTGCAGCGCCGGACAAGTTACTCCCTGCTACTCCCGCCACGGAGGATGCGGGACGTGGGGAACGTTGCGGGGCGCGGGGAGCGCGGGGCGCGTCCAAGCCCGCACGCGCCGCTGGCGAGGCGCGGGACGCGGCACTCACCGAGTCGTGGGTGAGGTAGGTGTCGCAGTAATCGCAGTAAAACCTGTGCGGGAAGAGCGGTCAGGGCCGACACCGCCGCGGGCGCGCGGGCCCCGGCAGGCGGCAGCGCCCGCGCTCGCCCTGAGCGCGATCCACCCCCCCCCCCGCCCCGCCCCGCCCCGTGCGGCCACCGGGCGCCCCGGTACCGGCGCCCGCGGAACCCCGCTCACTTGGGCATGGTGCTCCCCGCGCCCCGCCACCGGCGCCGCCGGAAGTGACGCACTCGCAGAGCGCCGCGGCGCCACCGGAACGCGCTTTGACCGCACTCGGCTGCCGTAGCAGGGCGCGCGCTCGCCCTGGCATGTCCTCAGCCGCCCACGGTGGCTTGCGAGGGCCAAAAGGGGGGCGGCGGCGGCGGCTTCGCGTTGGTGGCCAGTGCCAGTAGTGCGTGGTGAGGCATGAAACTGGTTGTTCTGAAAGGGGAGGAAGGATGAGGGCTGTTTAAAAGATGATTCAAGCTGGCACCAGACACACACTTCAACCTGCAGTGGCTTTCGCTATGAAACAAGCTGGTGGCTTACTGTATTTCCCGAGTTAAGGGTTTGCATCAACAAGACAAAAACAGCAGCTCTCCAGTCAATCTGTCCTCCAGGCTTCCTGAAATGCAGCTCCAAGTTTTAACACAGTTCAGAAAGTGGAAGTTAAAGATGTTTTCTGGGAACCAGGAAGCAAAACCCAATGAAGCAAAGCAAGCGTGGCAACCACATGCGCTTCACAAGGGATGACGCAGGACTCGTGAGAGCTGGGGCTGCTCGGGAAGTTTTCTTGAAGACTTATCCACGAGACAGGCTCATAGGCTGCCCAGATCGCATGACTAGGGCCCTCACAAAACGCGTTATGAGCCACATTGCATGGCAAGTGGTGGGGGGAGGGAAGGCTGGTAGACATGCCAAGGGAGCTTGGGCACCTCTGAATCATTTTTGGGGTCCATTATTCATCAAATAAGACATTTACTATAGCATACAGTAAACACCATTCTACAATGTGCCATGGTTGCTTTTCCAGACATTTTATTCTGTATTTTGCTGTGCATTCTGCTCTAGGTTACCTCTTTTTCCATTACATCACAAACACGTTTCCCACTTGCCTCAATAAATCTCAGCATCAGCAGAGCCCCCCACTTCCCAGCGCTGCCCTCAAGGCCCTTTCCCCCCGCCATGCTATTTGCTCTGCCAGGAGCTTGTTTTCCTTCCGAATCATCCCAGTTTTCCCTCGCAGCTGTGTTTACTGAGCAAACACAGCGGCGAGGGAACCTCCTCCTGGGTCAATATGTGACACGATAATGCAGGGACTTTGGAAGAGACACTGGGCACACAGCGGGCCCGGCCCCAGCGCACACTGACGGGAGGAGGAAAAGGGTCTTCATTTCCCATTTTTATTTCCCGAAGGGACAGGGGTGGGGGACGAGGCGGGCTGTTGACAGGGCCGCTCATGGCAGCACGAGGCTCGCAGGCAGCTCCGCCGACACCCACCGCCTCCTCCCAGCAGCCCCTGCGCGGCCTCATTTGCATAGCCACTTGTGACGCCGCACGCGGCTTATTTGCATACATAAACACGCGCCCTCGCCGCCCGCGCCCGATGCCATATTTGGAAGCGAGGGCGCGCGCGGCTGCGCATGGCCGCGGCGGGGCGTGGACGCCCCTCGCGTGACGCAGCCGCCCGCCGCGCCGCGGCCAATCGGGAGGGCCGCCTCGCAGCGTCACGTTTGCATATGCAAACAAATCATTTGCATGCGGCGGGCTCTCGCTCTGGGGCGCCCGCGCTGACGTCACAGGCGGCGCCGCGGCCGCG